TCCTGTTCCCGAGACAGTCGGTGAGTTTATCAGGGGTGAAACCCAAACCTGAGAGCCCCCCAGCCTTTTATAATTTCACTGTCTAATGAGAATATTATTGGTAGACCCATTATGGAGGTTTATGATGCTTTTTTCCTGTTTAAAGTTTCCTTTTAGAAATAAAATATATTATGAAAAAGTGTTGTTTGTATGTGTCTGTTATGAATCATCTATAATGTCTCCTCATGCTACTGAATGTAGTCCAGGTTTTATCATAGTGTTAAGAGGCGCAGCAGTTTTGTCTGGTATTTATAGGCATCTTTCCTCTGATTTAAAAAAAACTATCAGCCAGCACCAAGATCAGTATGATCCTCTCCAAAGAGCGAGAGGTCCTGTGAGTACACTGTAAGTTATTGCAGAGTAGGTTATATGTGTCTCTGAATAAGAAAGTAATTTGGTATATACTGTTTAAAACTTCATAGTACATTTCTGGCCTTTGGGGCCCCAGGCAATTGCATACCTTGCCTAATGGTAAAGTCCAACCCTGAAGGCAATAAAACCCTCATTGCAACCACTGGAGTTAAAATAGAGGAGCTAAACAAATGTTTGAAGTGTTTGTTTTGTCCAACCAACAAATCCAAAGACATTCAGTTTGCTTTTATGTATGACAAATAAAAGCATTCGCCCCTTACACTAAAGAAGGTGGAGCCAGAAAATGTTGGTGATTTTTCCATGAGCTGGTTGGACTGGTACCTCTGAACACCTTAATGAGTATGAAAAAGTGTGTTGATCACACTGAGTGAGTATGTTTTGGAAGAGTGATGCTACCTCTCTCCAACAGAGGTGCACTGTTCTGGAGACATCTCACTAATAAGTGTTGTTCACGTTATGATAGTGTTTCCTTTCATTTGTCACCCATGTCTAGGCTAAACTTGTGTCATAATGTGCAACATTTGCCTGTGACAAATGTTAGTTTGGCCTTTTAGAGTTATAACATGCAAAGGTTTGGGATAATTTATAGTTTTTCAAACAATCCACAGCACTGAAATATATCTGCATGTACATATACTGGGTGATGCAGCTTTAACACCTTTAACATTTGGCACAGGTGAACAGGGGTATTCATATACTTTCTCTAATTATCTGCAAAAAACTGATATTACATTGATCACTACCTGATCCAGTCATTTAGTAAGAAAACCAGTTCCCACCCTTAAATACTTTAAAACATCAGAGCAATGAAGAGATTGTGTTAATTAATCCTCTGTCTCACAGTGTCAAGCCACGTCACCACTCGAGTCTCTGAAGAAAAACCACAGTGAGGAGCTAAAGAACAACACTACAGTCATTACATACATGGATGTTCAATAAACACTGATCTACATGTTTGTTAGGAACAACTGTATAACTGTTCAATCTTTAAGAATGTGTTGTCTTTTTAAGCTTATTTTATGTTTTTTTTTACAAATATAAAATCTTAATTAAATTAGCTAT